TGGAGGGGAGCTACAGGGCCTTCTTAGCCGTCAGGTGCTCTGGCGGCACCCAGGTCTTCCAGCTTCTCCATTTGTCATTTGTAGCAAACCCAAGAGCTCAGGCCTCTGGGGACCTGAGCAGGCTGCTGTAATTTTCCCCAAGAGTTTCAGCTCAATCTGGGTGAAACCTTGAGAAATCAATGGGTAAAGAGCCATCAATCAGAGGTAATTCAAGGCAGCGAAGATGTATTGAGTATGCACGTAGACGAGTCCCTGGAAGGAATGCCAACGAAGCTTATGTCCCAGACGGCACCCTCAAGGGTCTGAACCTCGTGAAAAAAGCAAGTTAAGCACACAAGGAAACGAGAGGACAATACGAGGCTGTGTATAATCCAGTGCTACCTTATGTAGATCAGACTTTATAAGGGGTCGAAAAGGCAAGAGCGATGTGATCAGGAAAAGGTAAGGAGGACCTCATTATATTTGTGTTAGAGGCCTGCTCTGTGCCAGGTACTATGTATATTTCTATTACTACTTTATTCTTACAAATCCCCTGAGAGGCTAAGTAACTTGCCCAAGGTGACAAAGCTGAAGAATGAGAGAGCCAAGATTTTCATCCAGATCTAACCGCAAAACTGTGTTCTAGTTCACCTCATGATAGGCATTATTTATTACGACTGAGGTCCTGAGCTATCACTTTTTAATTAATTAATTATTTATTTTTAGATTTTTGCTATGAGATGCATGCACTTGCTGGAGAGAGACAGAGAGAGGGAAAGTAAAAAATTACCCGCCACACTGCAATCCCTTGTCCCCTATTATCCTCTCTGGATTTGGGGCATGCATGCACACGTGCAATGTGATTTTCAAGCTGCCAGATCCAGAACTCAAACCATAGTCAACCATGTGGGAGTCCAGTACATTAACCACCATGCCACCTGCTGGACCTTAGGTCATAATTTTTTTTTAAGTTTTATTTACTTAATTATTTCATGAGTGAGAAACACACAGAGAGAGAGAGAGAGAGATAGCACCTCCAACAGGTCTTGATGCTGAGACCCACCCCCAGCCTCAGCCAGCCCCAGATCATGGATATGCATATGCCTGGCTTACTCAGGGAGGTCTCCAGATGCAAAATTGGAACTTTCCTGTGTGCATCATCCCTGCAGATCATATAGCCTTTCACGATCCTGTCCATGGTGCATGTCATTTTTAGCCCCCGCACTATCCCTAGGAAGGCGGTATTACCACTCCCATTTGCTATCTGGAAAAACGGATGCTCAGAGAAATTAATATGCCAGCAGGGAAGAAGGGAAATCAGGAAATCTCTAATTACAATACAATTTTATTCAAATTCAGATATCCTGTACATTTTCACTTTCTCCTGTCACTGTTTTATTTTTTTTAAAGAGATTTTTGCTATAGGCTTGTGCACTTGCCAGAGAGACAGAGAGAAAAAGAGAGAGAAAATGTGAGAAATTGCCCCCTGGGGGGGGATGACCATGCTGCAATCCCTTCTTCTCCATTCTCCTCTTAGGATTTGGGGCATGTACACACATGTACATGTGCCAGACGTGAGTTTCAAGCCTCTGGGTCTGGGACTCAAACAGTGGTTGGCCATGTGGGAGTCCAGCACCTTAACCACTAAGGCACCTGCCGGCCCCTCTTGCCACTGATTTTTTATTTGAACCAAAGAGATGATAGAGGTACATATATGAGATTTCAGGAGTTGGGGACTTTTAGAGATTGCCTGTTTCTCAAAGACAAATTGATAAGCAATCTTGCTGCAGTTCTACTGACCAAAGTCATAATCCCCAAAAACCCGTATCGGTTGCTATTTCCATGAAATATCCTAGATGAGCCTTTGGAGGCAAGCTTCATGTTAAGCGCTTTTGTAGTTTCTTAATGTTTTTCAGTTGGCATCAACATATGTCAATGCACATCAAACACTCCTGTACGCCAGGTACAGTACTAACCTTTCTCCTTCCCATGCAAATCCCATTTTAGAGAAGAGGAAACTGAGGGTCACAGAGGTTAGGTTACTCGCTCCTAACTGGTCTACGACTGATCTGTTATGGACTCCTGCCTCCAATATCAAAATGTGTTTTTATATCTTTCTCAGTGAAAACTTGCACCTGGAGTAAGCAGGTGAAGCAATCTTTGAAAAGTTTTAAACTAGTAAATGGGCCTTTTTGTTCATACCAAAATACAAAAATAGGTCTTTGTCCATCTCATTTACTACCTGTGTCACTTTTGACAAATTACCTGAGCTGCAAATTTCTCATCTGTAAAACAGGACCAATGAGGCAGTTCCTGTATTATAGAAGTGTTCTTAGGATTAAATGAGATGGTGCATGTAAAACACTGAACATCATGCCTGGCATACTGTGAGCACTCAATAAATGACAGTGCTCAGCAGTGACAATATTTATTCATTGCCTGCCATGAGCTAGGTCTTATCCTGTATGCTATAAACCGTGTTCATACTGTGGCCATACCACATGTATGTGGAAAACACATGTATGGATGCAGAAATGGATGGGTGAAATGGATTGTAGTGGTGGTGATTGGGGCCATACAGAATAAAGACTGAAATGACATAAACCACACATTAACTGTGATGGTGGAGGGTTTTATTTCCTTCTGTGTCTTTATATAGTCCTCAAATTTTTCTCTGATGAACATGGATAGATAAGTTTTATCATCAAAACAAAGAAAATCCTAGGAAATCCACTGGAAGTGCAATTCATTTTGGAATGGGAGGAATGCTTTATTTCAAGGAAGCAATAAAAGTTTAAAACTTTTTAGAAGGTATATTAGTTTAATAGCCCCAGAAGGGGGAAAGTAGTGTTTCCTAGCAAAGCTGAGCAAACCCAGCTGACTTCACAAGCAGTTGCTACGACATCTGGTTCTAGAACAAGGACCTAGGGTTGGAAAGCAAAGAATTTTTAGTGGCAACTTTCCCTCTGATGGTCACCCGAGACAGGTGAGTAGTCGTTGCTCCAATCTCATTTATAGGTGTTCTGAGACCACGCCCAGGTAGAATGCAGAGCCTCCTGCATCCTAGCCCCTCCTCACTGTGACACATGTACCTTACCTGATGGAGATGTCAGACCAAAGCAGGTGCAGCCGCAGCAGGTGACTGCCCACAGCTCTCTCCACCTGGGAGGGCAGAGCTGGCTGCTCAGCACAGACACACCTGGGCTGGTCAGCAGAAGACAGAGTGTTTAAAAAGCAGCCTCCTCAGATGGAAGCAACCAGGTCTGGGAAGGGAAATGAGGGAGGAGGAAGTGGAGAGTCACTATATGAGGGAGTGAGCAGTCCCTTCTGCTTCCCAAGCACCTTCTCATCCAATCCTCCACCCTGGCTCAGGGAGGCATTGGTAACTCTCTCTTGCAGATGAAGAGGTACAGACGATCTAAGAGCCTGCTCAAGACTGACGAGAAAAGATTCCAGGTGTGTGTTTTCTTTCAGGATGGCACCAAAGCAAATGCCCTAGCCTATAATGGGGCCAGGTTTTCAGCTCTGATATCTCATCATGCTAGCAAAGTTGCAGGCCCAGTGTTGCTGACCCTTCTGGACTTTTCTATAATATGTCTCCGTTTTTGAGTGTCTCCTTAAATTTTAAAACAAAATGAAAGAAAGGTGCCTGGAGGTCAGACGGAACACCTATACAGACTAAGGGTTGCACCCTTGGCCTCAGGGGTTGCCCAGGCTGGAGCAGTCTGGCCACCTGGCTGGCCCAGTGACATCACTAGGCTGCCTGGCAATGGGCATGGAGCTTCAGGTTTCCCTGGAGAAGAGGTGACACTTCCCATTGGATCGAAGAGCTAAGCCCAGAGAAATAGAAAAGATATACAGAGAACAGATATACAACATTTCAGATTACCAGCCTGAGAAGTTGCGCTGGGACCAAATCAGACTTTGGAGAGGAGAGAGGTGTATTGGAGACCAAGGTTTCTGACAATATACCGCTTGTTCTTTCAGGCTGTCAGTCAGTCAGCAGACAGTTTTAAGTGATGGCTGTGCATCCACTCATATTGCCCTAGATCCTGGAAATAGAGCAGGAACAAAACAGGAGCCCCTGCTCTTGTGGCATTTGCCGCTTAGTGGGGGAGACAGAAAAGACACAAGTGCATGGCCCCTGATGGAGTAAGTGCTATGAAGAAAGGTCGACCAGGCAGCCCAGCCTCTGCGGTGAGGTCAGTAGTGTGTTGAACTGCAGAGCTAGAGGCCACATGGCCGACCAGGGACTTGGATCCTGAGCCAGGTGGCCTGAACCATGCTGGGTGCATAACCGTACATTCCCCCAGGCAGGGGGAAGGGATTGCAGCATGACCAGACCCTGCTGAGAGTGCTCCTCTCTCTCATGACCACGTGAGGTTAGATAGGGCGCACTGGATGAGGGGCACAGGGTCAGCAAAGGCCTTCCCGGCAAGGTGCAATTTGGACAGGAGCCTGACAGCAGACACAGTGAAAGCAGTCTGGACACAGGGACGTAGGTGCCGAGGCCCTTCAGTGGGAGGACCCATGGCACACTGCAGGGACAGCCAGGAGCCAAGGTGACTGGAGCAAGAAGGAGTGGCAGTGGGAGATGAAGTCCCAAGAGGCGAGCAGAGGTGAGCAGATCAGGGAGGAGCCCGGTCACTAAAGGCCAGGTAAGAGGTGGTCAAGACAGGTTCTTGGGGATGAGCCTGTAATGAGACCTGCCCCTTTTCTGAAGGGGCTCACAGACTGACCCCATATCCTATCCCCAGCTATCCATGTACCCAGAATCCTGGGTCCTCCTTGGGCCCCAGTGCAGCCAGAGAGTCCCATTGGACTACTTGTTGCTTCTGAACGGCGGGGAAGGCACAAGGGAAAGCCTGGGCCAGCTGCCCATCCTAGGACAGTCACACAGGGATCTATGATAAAATGGCTGCCCTCGCTTCACGGGACCCAGAGGGCAGGATTTAGAGTCTGACTATGGCACAGGTATTTATTGAGTAATTCCTGAGCACGTGGTCCTGCACAGTGCTGGGGTGTCCATAGGTGAGTGAGATGAGAAGGAGCTGAGCTCCACACAGAGAGCTACAGGTCTGGTGGTAGATCTACAATGGAGGCCACACGGGATCTAGCATCTTAATCTCCATTCTGGCCCATCACAACAAACTTTTAAGTTTAATCTGCATTATTAACATTTCTCCATCACCTCCTTAAGCTTAGGTAACCAGTACGACAATAAATCAATCCCTGATTTATAGCATTTCCATTGTCATGGTGTAAATACTCCCGCAAGCTATCAACATAATACCAGTGATCACGGACTTGGGAGGAAATGCACAGTAGTCTATAAATCATGTAGTATTCCCACCGTATCGATAAAAGACCTAAATTACCTCGAGAGCATAGGTCATAGCAAAAGGTGGTGAAGTAATTAGGAAGTGATGAGTTTTGAGTATTTGTTACCATGGGTGAATTTTTAATAATGGCAGAATTTAACAACCAACTTACAACATTCCTGAAAATTTAGCAATCCTCTCTTGAGAGACACACAGGTGAGGATCCCAGAAACAGTGGTGAGGAGCTAACCTAAACCTTAAGAAGTCAGGCCAGCTGAGACAAAAGGAGTCACACTTAGCTAGACCACATGGGACCAGATGTCCAGGCAAAGGAAACAGCATGTAACGAGGGGGGAGAATATGTTGTCTCCACAGTTTGAGATACTCAGATGATTCGGAGAAAGTAGTTTCTTTTTCTTTTCCTTTATCTTTTCTTTTCTGTTTTGTGTTTTTTGTTTGTTTTTTGTTTTGTTTTGTTTTGTTTTGTTTGTTTTGTTTTGTTTTTCTGTTTCTGTTTCTTTGTCAGGATGTGTGCTCACCAGAGACTGAGAGACTGAGAGATGGAGAGGGAGAAAGCACCCCTCCTGCCATGGGCATGGTCACACCCCAATTCCTTCTCCTCCATTTCTCCGCCCTGTCAGGCTTTGGGGCATGCACACACGGGCTCCTGGACTGTTTTTCAAGCCACTGGGCCAGGACTCAAATAGCACAGTTGGCCATGTGGGATCCAGCTCCCTTAACCACTAGGTCATGGGACTGGCCCTAGTTTTTTGGGGTTTTTTTGTGTTTTTTTTTTTTTTTTCAATACAATGTCTTAAATCGAGGCAAAAATGGAACCTCTGGATGGAGGGTATCTTGTAGCCCTGAGGATTTACAGAAGGGGAAGTTACTATGCATAGCATGACCTTCATTACTGGGGGAAGGGAAGCTGGGCTCCTGGGAATGGGAGGGGGCGGTAAGAAGAGGGGAAAGAAGGCAGAGCTCGTGCCGGGCACTGTATAATGGAATCTTGCCCCAGAACAGCCCTCTCCTTCACAGTTCAGTAAAAACTGCTCTACAGAGAAGCAAGTCATACGAAGGTTTTCATTTCTTACAAAAAATGCAGGAAAGGGGCCAAGGGCTGTGCTGGGGCTAATGCACACAAGGGCCCAGCACTCACAGAGCCTGAGACCCCTGAGAACTGAAGAAGGGTCCGACCCCGCAGCCCAAGTTGAGGTAGGAAGTGAGGTAGAAAGGGACCAGCAGTTAGCGTAATGGCTATGTCGCTGGACTCCCACATAGTCGACTGCGGTTTGAGTCCCGGCCCTGGTGGCTTAAACTCACG